GACCCAGGCCAGTACATTAACATGGAAGCAGAGAGGCCCTGAGTGAAGATTCTCCTAACAGATAAGGAGAACTTTTTCATCTTTTTTCATCTACTTTGACCTCTCTGCATTATCTGAAACCACTGGCCATGGGATAGCAGCTATTTCACCTGACAAAATCATTCTTTACCCTAAAAGTGGCACGAGGGAATGGAGGAATGGGCTAAAATGGCCCAAATTATTTCAGGGGCACATAATAAATATTGAAGGAAAATATCACTTTTTCCATTAGATTTCTGCTTCGTTTAGTCCAACAACTATTAAGCACGGGGTGAACTGGTGAAATAATCTGAAGTTAAAATACCAGCAACATAAAAGAAAAAATGCAGGTTTATCGTTGGTTCACAGAAAATAAATGAAATTGGTGGGAGTTTGGGCAAGATCAGTGTATGGTGAAGAAAACCTGGCAGAGGGAAGACAGAGAGAAGAAGATATTTTGAGGCAATGACCTTGTGCCATGTGTGCAGTCCAAATAAACCAGTTCATTCTGTGCAGTTCCAGGCGAGCGCTTGAATTTCTCATTGTGTCTCATAGCAGCATCTATATCTCCATTTAGCAATGTTTTCCATTATCATAATGTATCTACAGTTATTTATGCTTTCTGTCACCTCCTGGCTGCTCTCTGATCCTGGGCAGGAATCCCACAGAGCCCAGGAAACTCCAGCGTGTACGGAATGCTCCGGCAGCACACGCTGCCCCCAGCGAGCACAGCTCACAGAGCCTGATTTCAGTTCTGCTCTGGGTCCTTCACACTTTGTAATTCCCCTGCTCTTTGTTTGGGAGATATTTTGTTTGTCTGGCACAGCGAAGGGACAATGGCAGATGGAAGTTGCTGGGTTGGTAGCTGTGAACTCCCACAGGTTCTAAGGACCACCACAAATGTTACCACACTCCGGTGCAAGAACAAATCAGGTTGTTTGTGGCTCTGTCTTTTGTGAAATAAATGCACAGGTTATATTTTCAGATAATGAAAATTTTTCAAGGTAATCATTCCATACTTATTCCCCCAGGATGAAACTCTTCCCTGAATGCACCCCATCCTCTGGGAAAGAGGCTGACTGTGGAGCTCAGTGGGTGGATGATGTGATGAGCAGGGTGTCACAGTGGGTGTAACAACGAAGTTAAACCCTGCAACATCATAATTTGGGTCCATACAGAGGAATGCAGCATGAAGGAAGACAGAGCAACTCTCCATCCCTGCTTTTGTCTAGGATGAACTCCCTGTGGTTCCCCTTAGCTGAAGGAGCTCTGCAGTGGAAATTTTCTGCAGTCTGCTCCACTGAGCTCTTCTCCTCATTGCAATATTCTGGCCACTTCACACCTTTGTGGAGAGGAGACATAGACAAACCATTTATCATATCTGAATTCAAATTCTGGGCAACAATTAAAGAATAAGCACTAGTGTTAGGGGAATCCATTTCTCTAACATCCATTCCTCAGTGCAGCCGTTTCAGGTGTGAAAAGAGTTTAATCTTTAGGTCTATTTCCCTGAGGACTGACCTTATACGTTAAAAAAAGCCCAGTCTGTAATTATTAAGTAAGTGATAAGCATCAAATGGATTGTTACAGAACCCTTTTGTTGCCTTTATTGCATGATAAGGAGCAGTTGCTGTGTAACCTTGAATGTGGGCAAATAACTCATGCTAAACACATTGCGACAAAGATGGCATTTTGGCAGGGCTTTGATGTAGGTCATTTTATTACCAGGCTGAATCAAACTACAAACTGATGTCAAACTCATGCCAAGAATGCTAATAATACACTGATCAATGAGGTGCTGGATTGCTCAAGTGAAGTGGTCGAGGGAAAATGCAGACATAAAAAGTCTGGAATTCCAAAGGTTGAAGTGCTTGGGCTATTACACTGGGGGGAATTATGTTCCTTGCATTAGGACAAGTTTTCTTTACTCCAGGGGCCTTTAGCTGAGTGTTGAACAGGACAGTGTCAGAAAGTATATACTTATCTTTATTTTTCTTGACCTTTATGTGCAAGTAATTTTTATAGTTCCATTAACTAGTAAGATCATTTGCAAACCACTGTACAAAGTGTATTATGAAGAATGCCTTGGGGACCATTGTATCCTATTATGTTGAATGTTAATAGAATGAAAAATTAATTTAAACTCTAAAGACTTGAGCAAGGCAAGACTTCCCTTTTATAGGAGAAATTCAAAATTTTATTTGCTATGGTAAAACTTTAGAGCTGTACCCTAATATGACCTTTATAAGCCTGATTTGAATCAGTCAGTGCAGAAGTCTGATTTAAATAAAATTACTTCTGTCAAAGCTTCTCTGTTTCAAAAAGGGGGTTTTCTGTGACCCCCACATTTGGGATTAGTCACTAGTGAGCTCACAGCTACTTGTTCAGCAATTAATCAACCAGAGATGAGAGAAGCACAGTTCCAAGAAACATCTTCAGCTTACTTGAATCTTTAATTGCTCATTAAATATTGTCATCTTCAGTGATGTGGGACTTCAGAACACCTGAAAACAAGGATACAGTTCTTTATAATGTATTTTTATTAATTTTCATGTGACTGAGTGCTTTAGAATGAGGAGTTCTCTCTTGAGTCTTCTGCTAAGTCTCACATTGCACTCTTCCCATAGGACTGCAGCTAGACAAGTGATTAAGGAAACTTTATTGCTTAATTAGTTACTACTATTTCATATTTATGTTAACATAGACAAGGTGTGATAAATTTGTGTGGAAATCAACTAAATTTAGAGCAGTAATGTGTGGGAGTTTTGTTATCTGGAAGAGTAAAGAACCAGTCCCCCATTAACCCCCTTGCTCACAATATTTGCCTTGAGGTGAGAACGTGGCCCAGTTAAAAGGGAAAAAATGTGACACATTTTACATATTAGAGTGATTTATTATTGCAAACGTCCATACAGGCAACAGCCAAATCTCAGTTTTGACTTCCACATCTCTTACAAAACCAGGATGTCACAACAATGAGAAATGTACTCTCAGCTAAAGCTGTGCAGGGCACAATTCCCAAGGTATCCCTATCCTATCCTATATCTTTTAGCACACTGTAGTGGGAATAAAAACCCATAAGTTTATGACTATTCTATATGTGATCTTCTCCTTGTTCTGGATAACCAGCCATTTTCAAATGATTTCATGGAGGTGTGTATATTTTCATTGGAAAATCCTGTTTATCTAATATCCTGAATATCCTGAGGTTCATCCTACAGCTGTAGAGTAGGATGCTTCACTGTCTCCAGAAAGCCTAACTCGAGTAAAATAAATGCACTAAAGATTAGGACAATTAGTGACTAGAGATTAGCTATGAATATTTCATGCCCACTGCAATACTGTCTAAACACAAGATATGGAATAAGAATAAATTGCATTTTTGACATGCAGCAAACGTAGAAAGGAAATGATTAATTTAGAAAGATTTTGCAGTCGTTTTAACGAGGCAATGTTCTAATCACTGGTCACATGGGATCTGCTGGATAAAGAGCAGAAAAGTTTGTCCCACAGGATTATTCTAAGTCCACTTGCATTTTGAAGTTGGATTTAAATATTTTGTGAACAGCTCAGTGGGTTTGGTCTGCAATGACCCAACCACAAAATAGGCAGCAGAATGTTCCCAGGAGCTTTGGTGGCAGCCTGGGTGTGGGTCCAAGGTGTGATCCAGTCTGTCCAGAATGTCAGGTGTAGCAGGAGTCATTCAAAGCTACAAGGCAGTGGTGGAGAACCTGTGGCACAGGAGGTTTCCTGGAACTGAAAGGGTTCCAGCTTTCATTTCACCTGCAAGTCAGGGAAACTTCCAGAAGCTTAGCTGGCTGACTTCAGAGGAATTGGGTGGTTCAGCTCCATTTTCACTACAGCAACTAAAGCTACTTCCCAAATCAGCTTTGCTAGCCTTGGTTTAATAAACAGGAAGGAATTATCTTTGTCTTGGGATAAGTCTTTCGTAGTCCAGCTTCAGGCAGTTCTTGGTTAAGTAAATTAATACTCACATTTCTCATCTGATATAAAAACACAGGATATACAACCATAGGTTATAGATGATCTAGATCATGTATTTTATATATATGTATATGCAGTTTAATACAGTGACCTCACTGCCACTGCATCATTTATTTATTATTTTTTTATTATTTATTAATAACTCATACATGTTGGTCTAGATGGAATTGATGTGTTCCAACTTAACCATCCAATTTGAATCTCTGACACAGAGTCTTTGGCAGTGTCCTAAGAGGTAAAATGGAAACAAGGTAGTCAGCAACAAAGTTTAGTCTTTAAAGCAGTTATTCAGTGCTCTCCAGGTTCTTTAGTATGTGATGGGCACACTCTGGAAACTGTCAGATACTGAAACTGCACAGGAAAAGAGAATCCTAAAAACGATGAGCTGTTCCTCAGCCAGCCTTTGGTTTGCCTTGGTTTGAACTTGATGATATTGAACTTCCAATATTCCACCAGTGAGACAGAGAACTGTAATTATGGAAAACTGGCTGACCTTGAAAAGACATAAATGTACTTGCAGCCACTGCATCATGGAATAAAATTATTTATTTTCCTAGAGCTGTTTTTTACAAATCTATTTTGGATCTTAATACACTTTCAAGACTGAGCTCCATTTTGCCTTATGAGCAGTTGCAATTTGAGTGTGATATAAGAAGCTGCTGTTCTGTAATATAATAAAAATAAATATCAGTTTGGTAAAAACTTTATTATGAAGCAAAACTGCTAACCAAAGGAATTTCTGGTGTTCAAGTTTTTCATTACAGGGCTGAAGTGACAAATGAATTTATTGCTGTCAAGAGACCTATATTTTATTTTGGTCACTTAGCAATAATTTAATCTAGACAGTAATTATTTTTTTGTGTGTTTGCTTTGTTTAGTATTTTTAAACAAAATATTGCTCTCTAAGGCATTGCTTATGGTATGTTTAGTAACCACTTAATATGTTTACAATGCTGTGTTTTGTTTCCTCTCAACAGCACTGTGCACAGAGGAGTGTGTGCATGGAAGATGTGTCTCTCCTGACACGTGTCACTGTGAACCAGGCTGGGGAGGGACTGATTGCTCAAGTGGTGAGTAAAGATACCAAAATATGATAAAAATATCTGTTGCTATTAAAAAACAGGCCTTATAAAGCAATGGCCTTAGAACTTGGATGCTTTGAGTGGAAAAATGAGGGTTGTCTGCTGGTTATTTTGTAAGAATTCATATTGGGCTGGAACAAAATGACCTTTAAGGTCCCTTCCAACCCCAATCATTCTGTGGTTCTATGAATAGGTGAGAATACCCTTTCCTAGAATAATGACATTGGACTTTCTTGGTTGTGTTTTGCAAAGAAATGTGAAATGCAGTGGAGGATGCTGTTAACGCTTTTGGTTCTGTTATTAGGATCCCAGTACAGATAATAGAGCTCTATAAATAATTTTTTCTCTCTCAAATCTTTAATACAGCACATTCTTCATTAAATACTGTGTGGAGTGTTGGAGCTGTTTGGAAAGCACTCTCTCCAGACAGAATTCTTGTCCTGTTCAAGCTAGTGGGAGTTTTGCCATTGACTTTTCAGGCAGCCCAGATTCTCTCCTCTGCCTTACAATCCATTCCTTAAATCCATACTGCCAAAGTTAGGGAAATGGGAGTTGGGAGTTCTGCAACTTTTGCTAGGGAATTAATCCACACTGGAGGCTTTCACTTCTTTCAGCTGGCAAGGCTGTGTTTGTTAAACTCTCTTAATTGGGAACGGTGAGTGTAAGTGGTTGGTTCATGCTGGAATGGAACAGGCAGCACAAACATCCGAGTGTGATGTAACACAGGCCTGAGACATTATTGACATAACAGGAATAAGCTTGTTAAATGGAGTCAATTTGTGCATCAGGCAAGTAAATAAAGCTGCATGGGGAGAGATGCTGTGAAATGAAACTGAATGGACATTTTGTTCTGTGTTGGTTTCCTCCCTTTCTCCCAAATTGATTGGGATCTTAAGAAAGAAGCATCCTTACCAGGCAAGAAGGTAACAGAGAAGGGATCTATAGAGGGAGGAGTTAGAAGGGAATGGGAGGTAAATGTGCCTGAGGGTGAACACAACCAGAGGCTGAAGGCAGGGGGGCACATTCCTGGATGGCTTCCTGGGGTTCTGTCTGCAGCTCTGCTGAATATCCCCACGATTCCAGCAGAAAAGGGAATAGGAAGGGAGCAGGGAGGAAGGACTTTAATCCAGAGGGGATGTGGATGCTCCAGCCCTGGGAGTGTTCAAGGCCAGGTTGGACAGAGCCCTGAGTAACCTGGTGTGGGGATGGCATCCCTGCCCACAGGAGGGGTTGGCATGAGATGATCAATGAGTCCCTCTAACCCAAACCATTATGGGATCCTATGATTCCAAGGCTGGAAACAAAGGCCATACTATGGGGTTTAAAGCAACATTTTGGGACTACCTGGAATGTAGACAAGGGAAAAACTGGGCATCGTGACATAGTGAAATCTATCTTTAAAAATACTTTTAAAAAGAAAAATAATACTATCAATTGTGATACATTGTATAGATTCTCAGGAACTCATTTAATGTTTTGATTATTCTTAGTACTAGATTTAGTTTAACCTACCAGTGAGTATTTTTACAATGCATGTGCACTAACAGAAGTTAAAAATAATAATAATAATAATAATAAAAAAGACTAAGACAATAAGGACATATAGATGATACTTTTATACACATGTGCACTCACAGAGTAAAAAGCACTTCATTCTGTGTAAAAATGGCCAGGAAAGGATAAGATGTCAAAGTACAGAATGGTCTTGTGGACTAAAACTACCCAGTGACTCTTATTAAATTGCTCTAATCTTGCAAGTGGAGATAAAAGAAAAAGAAGGTTTTTCCTATATTGAATATTTAGCTTTTTAAAGTAATTAGGAATATTAAAGCACTGACAATGATTGAGATAGAAACATTATTCATAACTTTTATTTCCGCACTGGGCAGGGATCCAGTATATTTCATTTATGAGGTTTCAGCGGTGGAAAGAGAAGTGTTAGCCAATTCCTAAATTAAATATGCCCTGTTAACTTTTATAAATGATAGCCCAGGATTAGCTTCAAAATTTAAGCTTTCATTTTATTAATATAATTAGTGTGTTTGCTGGCCTGTAGTGCCCATTGTCTTCCATTCCACTTGTTTTATGCTGGGTAACATGTGTTCCTGTCCCAAGGTCTGATCCCACAAGCTCTACCCAGTGGAATGCTCCTGGGAGGGAAAGTCAGTTTTACTGCACCTGAGAGCTGCTCACCTTTGTGCTTGACACTAGAAATGTGGGGGACTGGACTCTTCATTGTTAGGAGACTTTGTTTAAATTCAGAGGTTTAAAGGAACATTGTTACTCCCAGTATTTCCAAGAAAGGGGGAATCCAGAAGCTTTGCCTAACTGAGGTTAACCAGGTTTTTCTGATATATGGTCCATGTGTTAAATCATATTTTACTGTTATCCAGTTATAATGTGGAAAACAATTCTCATTTCTACTGGAATAATGTGTCACCTGTACCTCCTTTCTGTTCCTTCATGACTGTTGGGTAACCAGTGAAGGTCACATGTTTGCAGTGGCAAAGGCTGTTTGGGATGTTCCTGCAGGGTGTGCTTGGGAGAAACCCAAGCTGGTGGTGAATGGTTCCATCCCAAACCCATGGGGCTTGAGAACTTCCCAATGCATTCCTCAGGATCAGGGATTGGGTGCAGACACAGGCATATTGCTTTCCATGTTGGCTGTTAGAAGTGCTTTCACTGGGAGAGGGATTGCCAGCCAAAACACTCCCTTTAAATTTAGCAAAGCTCCCAGGAGCTGGAATGGTTTCCTGAATGATCTCTCCTGGAAGCACCTCTGAGAAGTGGAGCCTCCCTGACACTGGGGGTTGTGTGTTGTCATTTCCTCGGGGAAGATCTAAGGATACTCACTCTTTCTGAGATACAATTTTAACACCCTGCAGACACAGGCATTAATTTTTTCTAAAAGTTATTTCTAACTTTCACTTGATTTGATGGGTGAAATTCAACCATAAGCAAAGCTCCAGCACAAAGTCCAAGTGTCACTTCAGAACCAGAAGTCAGATCCAAATATTCTTCTTTTCTGGTGTGCCTATGCCTGGAGAGGGTCTGAATTCTGACAGTGAGCCCGAATTTCCCGTGGAGAAGCAAAGTTCTGATGTAAAATGCAGTGCCCCAGTGTTACCATTCTCTCTTGGCTAAAATATTCTCAATTAAACGTTTTGAATAGTTACAGCTACAGCCTGTAGTCATGCAAACAATTTAATCATCTTGCTCAGACTTGGTTTTATGCTTTCCTAGAACCCAGCCTGTAAGACAACAGTTACAAAACTTGCTTTTCAGTGCAGCTTTCCAGTGACTGATCATGGTATATGTTAGAGTTCATCTGTTGTCAAGGTTAAAATAACTTCAGATGAATTGCTAAACAATTATAAAAAACCCCAGTGCCATATTCAGCTCTGCATGTCTCTGTACCTGTGTTTTACTGCATGCTGTTGTACATCTGTCCATGCCCACAGGCCTAGCCTTGATTTCATGCTATAAAGCTGCAATATATTAAGGCTTGATTACCATAACAATAAAAAGAGAAGTAATGAGGTATTAACTAAAGAAGCTCTTGAACAAAATGTTTTCAGCATTTTAATTATGCTAAAAATTAAAAGGAAAATCCTTTTAAAAAACCACTGCATACCTTTCCTTTCCCTTTTAACTTATTTTATTGAATCATGCCTGTTTTGTCCATGCAATCTGGACTGTTGGTTTTTTAAATACAAAGCAAGATTGCAAATGCTCCGTGTGAACTTACCTGCTCACCTTTCCAATTATTTCAAAGCAATTAGCTTCAAACAGTATGGCTTGAAGTTCTGGTGGGGATATAATTGCCTGTTGGTGGTTACCTGGTCTCTTCTGGGTCTTGCTCACAGCCATCTGTATTTACAAGCCCTTAGGCCCCCATCCAGCAAAGAATTAAATTTTTATTCACAAGTAGGACTTTTCATCTTCATGCTTTAAGTATTTAGGTGGTTGTTAAGTTAGTTTTGAGGAAACAGCTAAAAAAAGTCAGTGAAATCTATACAAAGCTCTAATTGAAATCATCAGGCCTGTGAAGAAGAAGATAGTCTTTCTTTCAAGATGTTAATCAGGTAATTTTATTGAAGACCATTTTGACTCTCATGAGCATTATTTATTGTGAGGAAGGTCACAGAAATCTTTCTCATTAATAGGGCCTTCTCAAAAAAGGGGCAACAGGTAGGAAAAAGGAAGTTCAGGGCAAGAACCCTGAATTAAAAGCAAAAATCTTCCAAAACTGTGTGTGCCAGGTTGAGAAATTTTCAAGTAAACAAACACAGAGGTTGTAGTGAAAAAATAAAGAGGTTTTCAAAGTGTTTGATTTGTTATTAATTTTGAGAGAAAACCCAGTACGTGCCCAAAGTGTAATTAAAGAGATGCTGGCATAATAACACCAAACCATCTTTCTTGCAGTGTCACCTGGGGGAGAGAGATTATAGTGCTGCTCATAGCCTGATCCATAACTGTACATATGGATAACATAGTTTTCCTTGGAAAAGATGTTTTGTACAAGCTGTCATTAGGAACAAGAACCTATTTCATCTTTATCTCTTTGTCAAAAATAGCCAAGGTCATAACAACAGGCTGTTGTAACATCACAGCAAGATCACTTTTAAGGGTATAGCCCTGGAGCAGCTGGAGTGCCTCAGTCCTGAGACTCGTGATGAATGGGAACAGCAGATCCTGTGCTAAATCTGAACGGGGTTGTTTGACAAGCCATGGAAAGCAACAGCAGAACTCTCAAGAGAAAATGAAGTGTTTTAAAGTGAGGCTGTGGTGGTTTTCAGGCTTGATTTTGGCATTCGTGTTCTCCAACTGCTTTGAACTATTTCTGAAGAGGAAATGAAGTTCAAAGGAAAGATCCCTGGTTCATAAATTCAGACTCAAACAAAATTCATGTGGGAGGCTGATCTGCCAGAATCATTAGCTGATTTTACATCCTCAGATTTTTAGCATAGGATTGACCAGGAAACCAC